GTTTATCAGGCGTTTGAAGTGGTTGCTGTGGACCATGTCGAGGAAGGAAAGCCTATTTTGCATCCTCGTCTTTCCGCCACATCTGTAATGGTGGCTGCAGTTATGATGAGACAAGGTTATAAGCCAGGAAAAGGCTTGGGGGCATCATTGCAAGGAATTGCGGAGCCTATTTCTCCGTTCGGTAACCAGGGTACTTTTGGATTGGGTTTCAGGCCAACACAAGCAGACGAAAACAAAGCCAAACACCGCAAAAAGCATGGATGGGTCTTACAACAGCCTATCCCTCATATTTTCTACACTTTTGTCAAGCCACGACTCCGAGAGGGTCAAAATTCCTAGGCGCATGCAAACATTGATGAAATTTGCCATGGCCTCAGCGAGATGTTTTCTGAAGTGAATATGATCCAGGCTGGTGAATGCACTAGTCGTGCCGATATGCAACTAATTGACCTAGACACCATGCTCACCAATTGGGAAGCAACTCCTCTCCCCACAAGGAAGGAGTCTTGGTAGTTTGCTTTTGCAGCTTCTTTTTTTGTATTTTTGGGTTATTTTCAGGGTTGTAATCCAAACATCTCAGTATGATGGTTTTGTTTTGATGTTAACCCTTCTATCCTTTTGAATTCAATGAAATGCAGTTCAGTTTCCTGTTAAGTTTTCTATCTTTTCCTTTTCCTAATTCCTGTCATTTTATTTCCATTTCAGTTTTGTTAATGCCGGCTTTAATAACATGACATGCATGCAGAATTCACGCCCAGATCTTAAAAAGCTGTCTAATATCGAAATAATGCATCAAGAGGTTGAATATGATGAAGATGAGGTTGTTGAGGAAATAAAAAGAGAGTTGGAACAATTTGAAAACAAGCCTAAGCCAAACATCAATGAAACTGAGCCGATTAATATCGGAAGTTCTGAAGAAGTTAGAGAAACGAAGATAAGCATTCACACTGAACAAAAAACCAGAGATGCCTTGATTCAACTTTTATTTGAATACAGAGATGTGTTTGCTTGGTCTTACGATGATATGCCGGGTTTAAGTGCTGATCTGGTGGTTCATAAGCTTCCTACGTATCCTGGTTTTCCACCAGTCCAACAAAAGCAACGAAAATTTAAAACAGACGTGAGTGACAAAATCAAAGAGGAACTAATGAAGCAACTAAGCGCCAATGTGGTCAGAGCTGTTCGATACACTACGTGGGTGGAAAATGTTGTGCCTGTGCAAAGAAGGATGGAAAAACCAAAGTTTGTGTCGACTATAGGGACCTGAACAAAGCAAGTCCAAAGGATAATTTTCCTTTGCCAAATATCCACATTCTTGTAGATAATTGCGCAAAACATGAGATACAATCGTTCGTGGATTGCTATGCTGGGTACCACCAAATTCTAATGGATGAGGATGATGCAGAAAAGACCGCTTTCACCACGCCATGGGGTACTTATTGTTACAGGGTCATGCTGTTCGGTTTAAAGAATGCAGGGGCAACTTACATGAGGGCCATGACCACCATCTTTCACGACATGATGCCCAAAGAGATTGAAATATATGTCGATGATGTCATCATAAAATCAAAGACACAAGTTGAACACGTGTGTGATTTGAAAATGTTCTTTGAACGGCTTCGAAGGTATGACCTTAAGCTTAATCCAGCCAAGTGTGCATTTGGGGTTCCATCTGGGAAGCTCCTCGATTTTATAGTAAGCCGGAGAGGCATCGAATTGGATCCATCTAAGATAAAGTCCATTCGAGATCTGCCACCCCCGAAGAACAAAAAGGAAGTCATGAGTTTGCTCGGGAGGTTGAACTACATCAGTAGGTTCATTGCTCAGCTCACAACCACGTGCGAGCCCATCTTTAAGTTGCTGAAAAAGGATGCTGCTATCAGGTGGACAGACGATTGCGAAAAAGCTTTTGACAGGATCAAAGATTATCTGTCAAAACCCCCTGTACTCGTCCCGCCTGAACCTGGTAGGCCTTTGTTTTTATATCTATCGGTGATGGATAATTCCTTTAGATGCGTTCTAGGGCAACATGATGCAACAGGCAAAAAGGAACAGGCAATCTATTATTTGAGCAAGAAGTTCACCAATTATGAGGTTAAGTACACCCTTTTAGAAAGGACATGTTGTGCCTTGACTTGGGTCGCCCAGAAGCTGAGACATTATCTTTTGGCCTACACTACTTACCTCATATCCAGAATCCAGTTGATAATGAGTACATGCCACTTAGCTCATACTTCCCAGACGAAGAGGTCAACTCAATAGAGGAAGTGTTTCTAGATGATCACCCTGTATGAAAAAATGTATTTTGATGGGGCTGTCAATATCAAAGGAGTTGGGATCGGGGCAATCCTCATCTCACCTATTGGACACCATTACCCTGCAACAGCCCGACTTCGGTTCTTCTGTACCAATAATACGGCAGAATACGAAGCTTGTATCATGGGTTTGAAAATGGCTATCGATCTGGATGTGCATGAACTATTGGTTATGGGGGATTCTGACTTGCTTATCCGGCAAGCCCAAGGCGAATGGGAGACTCGAGATATAAAGCTTATTCCGTACAGACAATGTGTGCAAGACTTGAGCAAAAGATTCAAATCCATCGCGTTCAGGTACATTCCCAGGTTTCACAACGAGCTAGCCGATGCCTTGGCTACTTTAGCCTCAATGCTCCCTTATCCAGGTAACACTCATATCGATCCACTAGAAATCCAGGTTCGGAATCAACACGGTTACTGCAATACAATTGAGACAGAACCAGATGGTGAACCATGGTATCGTGACATAAAACAATTCCTGAAAACAAGAGAATATCCAGAGCATGCTAAAGGAGATCATAAAAGAACTATAAGGCGGCTCGCCAGTGGTTTCTTCCTGAATGGGGAAATTCTGTACAAGAGGACCCCAGATTTAAACCTGTTGAGATGCATAGATGCTACAGAAGCAGAGCTGATCATGAGTGAAGTGCATTCGGGGGTATGCGGACCTCACATGAATGGATATGTTTTGGCGAAGAAGATCCTGCGGGCAGGGTATTATTGGCTTACTGTGGAGCGAGATTGCTTCAGATTTGTTCGCAAGTGTCACCAATGCCAGATTCATGGTGACCTGATTCACTCGCCTGCTTCGGAGTTGCATCCCATGTCCTCTCCTTGGCCTTTCGTTGCTTAGGGAATGGATGTTATTGGTCCAATCGAGCCAAAGGCTTCAAATGGGCATAGATTCATTTTGGTTGCAATTGATTACTTCACCAAGTGGGTGGAGGTCGTCACTTTCAAAGCAGTCACCAAGAAAGCTGTGGTAGACTTTGTTCATTCCAACATCATCTGTCGCTTTGGTATCCCAAAGACCATTATCACTGACAATGCAGCCAATCTAAATAGTCATTTGATGAAGGAGGTATGCGAACAATTTAAAATCATGCATCGTCATTCTACTCCTTACCGGCCAAAAGCCAATGGAGCCGTTGAAGCGGCAAATAAGAACATCAAGAAGATTCTTAGGAAAATGATCCAAGGTTCCAGGCAATGGCATGAAAAGTTGCCTTTTGCTCTTTTGGGATACCGCACGACTGTTCGCACATCTGTTGGTGCAACTCCATATCTGCTTGTATATGGAACTGAAGCTGTAATACCCGCTGAAGTCGACATTCCATCTCTCCGAATTATTTTGGAATCAGAGATTGAAGACACTGAGTGGGTCAAGACCCGATTAGAACAACTGATGTTCATCGATGAAAAACGGCTAGCAGCAGTGTGTTTCGGCCAGTTATATCAGCAAAGAATGGCACGTGCTTACAATAAGAAAGTGCGCCCAAGGCGATTTGAGGTAGGCCAGCTGGTTTTGAAACACATCCTTCTGCACCAGGTAGAAGCTAAAGGAAAGTTCGCCCCGAACTGGCAAGGACCTTACATCATCAAGAAAGTGTTACCAAAAGGGGCCTTGGCACTTGGTAGATGAAGAAGGACGGGTACCAGACATGACTATTAATGCAGATGCAATCAAAAGATATTATGTCTGATATATACCCACTGTAGAATTTTCACGCATTGATTTTCTCAAATCGAAGTGACGAAGGCTATCATTTGCTAGCTATTCCAAATAGGTGTCACCCTTTTGTTAATCCTTTTTGGGCAGTATTTGTCTTCCTTGTTTCTCACTTTTTAGAACATGTGTACTTGTAAAAAAGCCAAACAACAAATCTCTGAGTCATTGAACTACGTCCGACCTGATTCCGAAAGGATACGTAGGCAGCCTTACCCTGGGTTAGGTCCCATCAGAACAAAAAATCCATATTCCCAATACTCCAAAACTGGGGCAGAAGTTTTTTGTGTAAAAACGGTTCCAAAAGTTGTAATTCAGTTCAAGGTTCATTTCGCCTTTTTACCTTTCAAGAACTTCTGATCGATGTTTTTTTAGAATGTTTGAAGTCCCCATGCCAAATGCATTGGGTAACCTCCCTCCTGCAGTGTCTTATTCAAAAAAAAAAGAAAAAAAAAAGAAAGAAAGAAAGAAAAAGAAATGAGAGAGTCTTATCAGTGAAAACCCGTACAGGCACTATAAGGCGACAGTGAGCAGAGAAATGAGAGAGTCTTATTGGTGAAAACCCAGATAGGCACCATAAGGCGACGGTTAGTAGAGAAATGAGAGAGGTTAGTTAGCGAAAACCTGCAAAGGGTGCTACTAGCCGAATGAGGGCCTTTGATTCTCCGGCATGAGCACAACCAAGACAAATTCAAGATGAACATTTGCGACAGATTTTGGGAATTAGACAGCTTAGACGGATCTGGCGTCCAGTCCAAAATGCATGTCGTGATTCATTAAAGTCGGCACATACCTCCAGATAAGTCTCCCTATTCCTTTCCTCCAAAGGGACACCTTTTGATTAAACACTATTCTTTTTCACTTTCAATTATTATTCCGTTTTTACCCATAATTTTTCTTTGAGTCCCTTTCGGTCTAATCCTGCATCAAAAGCGAAACAAAGAAATGGCTGCAAAACTAACTACAATTCCCCCGTAATATCGAGCACAATTTGGGGCATATATGGCATTGACGAAGGCACGAATCCATCTGAGATCTCATTTGATAAAGCGAACAAAGTGTCGCAAAGAAATGTCGCTTAAGCAAGACCTGCTTCATGAGAAAAGTTGATAAGCACTACGGACACAAACTGATACTATGTGCAAGACAACTGAGTTTGATTTTAAAGAAAGATAGCCTTGCCTTAGAGACAAGGGTAGCGGTACCATGGACATCTGGGTATGAAACAGTTAGGGCAACATTGGAAAGCCAGGGTCTCCAAAAAATGATACAAAGTAGCCGAGCAACTCGGTAGCATGCTGACAGAACCATTTCTTCGACAGCAGCCGTGAATCAAACTACTCAAGGCATCAAGGGATCAAGGCCACAAACCAACCACCACTTTGAAAACTCATAAATCTTTCTTTGTTTGAAGCAGGAACAAAGCGGTGCAGAATGGCAATTCTACAAGAATGAACGTCACCGGACGTAAGCTCCTTAAAATCTCCATTTTTTCTCTTTTCAGCATGCATCACTATTGTTAACACCTCCCATTTTAGTAGCTTAACTCAGGTAGAATCCTTTCGCCTAGGGGGATCCAGCTCATAGTTCCGAGTAGAAGTACTCTTCACTCAGGGTGTTTTACACAGCTTAACTCAGGTAGAATCCTTTTGCCTAGGGGGATCCAGCTCATAGTTCCGAGTAGAAGTACTCTTCACTCAGGGTGTTTTACACAGCTTAACTCAGGTAGAATCCTTTCGCCTAGGGAGATCCAGCTCATAGTTCCGAGTAGAAGTACTCTTCACTCAGGGTGTTTCACACAGCTTAACTCAGGTAGAATCCTTTCGCCTAGGGGGATCCAGCTCATAGTTCCGAGTAGAAGTACTCTTCGCTCAGGGTGTTTTACACAGCTTAACTCAGGTAGAATCCTTTCGCCTAGGGGGATCCAGCTTATTGTTCTGAGTAGAAGTACTCTTCGCTCAGGGTGTTATACGCAGCTCAACTCAGGTAGAATCCTTTCGCCTGGGGGATCCAGCTCATAGTTCCGAGTAGAAGTACTCTTCGCTCAGGGTGTTTTACGCAGCTTAACTCAGGTAGAATCCTTTCGCCTAGGGGGATCCAGCTCATAGTTCCGAGTAGAAGTACTCTTCGCTCAGGGTGTTTTACACAGCTTAACTCAGGTAGAATCCTTTCGCCTAGGGGGATCCAGCTCATAGTTCCAAGTAGAAGTACTCTTCGCTCAGGGTGTTTTACGCAGGCTAACTCAGGTAGAATCCCTTTGCCTAGGGGGATCCAGCTCATAGTTTCCGAGTAGAAGTACTCTTCGCTCAGGGTGTTTTACGTAGCTTAACTCAGGTAGAATTCTTCCGCCTAGGGGGATCCAGCTCATAGTTCCGAGTAGAAGTACTCTTCGCTCAGGGTGTTATACGCAGCTCAACTCAGGTAGAATCCTTTCGCCTGGGGGATCCAGCTCATAGTTCCGAGTAGAAGTACTCTTCGCTCAGGGTGTTATACGTAGCTTAACTCAGGTAGAATCCTTTCGCCTAGGGGGATCCAGCTCATAGTTCCGAGTAGAAGTACTCTTCGCTCAGGGTGTTTTACGCAGCTCAACTCAGGTAGAATCCTTTCGCCTAGGGGGATCCAGCTCATATTTCCGAGTAGAAGTACTCTTCGCTCAGGTTGTTTCACGCAGCTTAACTCAGGTAGAACCGTTTCGCCTAGGGAATTCAACACTTTATTAATAATACAAGGATACCAACCCATAATTACATTCCTTCCTAGTGGTATAAGGCTCCTACCCCTGGCTACGTTTCCTTTCAGTAATATAGGATACTGTGCTATAATTCCACTGCCTTTGGTAACACAGGGTGCTACCTTGTGGTTGCGTATCCTCACATAGCTAGTTTATATTACTGTCTTTTCTTTATTTTAGTAAATTAAATAGTTTGTAGCTTCCTCTAATAACTCACAAAATTTTCCTAGTGCCAGACTGGGGCAGAAAAATTTTGTTCGTTATGTTCGTCTTTGATGGCTTTGCAGGCTTTGCCGCATAGCCCAAGTGACGATTAAAGCTTGCAGTTTCAGTTTCTCATAAGAAGAAAGAAGCCCTTCGATCACAAGATAGTCGGAGTTAGCTTTGATAACGTGTCGGCAACGCAACTTCTCAAGTTTCATTTTCTCAAAATTCTGATCCAGAAAGCAAGCAACCGAGATTGAGTCATAATCTCTTCTTTAAAGAGAATCAAGATCCAGTCTAAGGTCAACACAAGAGAGCAAGTCAAGAATCAATATTTGACTCCAGAAGACACGTAGATAGGAATTCTGTACTCCTAGTTTGCAGACATATGTAGTGTTCTTCTCTTTTTCTCTTGATGTAAGAAGCAGTAATAGTAAGAGTAACAGCAACAACAGCAAGCAACAGCAGTCTTAATTCCAGTGTCTGGTAGTCCTAGCTACCAAATTTTTCCAGAACTACACTGACCTGATTCCTTTATAGCCAAGAGAATGTAGGCAACCTCAGAAGCAAGGTTCGGTCACTATTTTTCAAAATTTGCTTCCCTTGGATTGATATGTGAGCAAAAATTAGCTATGGCATTCATTTGTCTTTGCACGAAAACTCTTCATGTTCTCGAGCAAAGAGGGGCAGCTGTAAATGCCTAATTTTTGCTCATGTATATTTTTTTTCTTTCTTTCTTTACATTATAATTTCTAGAATTCTTATGTGTGTATTTTTAGGCTTTTAAATTAGATTATGTTAAATAATTTGATATGGGGGTTAAAGGATTGGACTAGTGTATTTTGACTAAAATTGAACCAAAATTGGCCCAAAATTAGGAGCCCAAAGAGTCTACTGATCCGGTCCAATTGGGGCTCCCAGGAGATAGTCTAAACGACGTAGTTTTAGATTGAAACTACGTCGTTTTGGTTAAGTCATCAAGATCAAATTCTGGCCACCTATTTTCTTTGATCCAATGGTCCAAAATTGATGTCATTGGAAGTATATAATTTTAGAAAATCTGATTTTTTTGGCCTTCANAGCAAGTGTAGTATGAGTACAAAACAAACGTGTACTCAGTAAGTATCCCGCCTAATCTCGAAGAAGTAGAGACGAGAGGTCGACTTCGACACTTACTAGTGGTCCAATGATGATACATCAGTAATATAACAAGTCGAGGGTTTACATGAACATGAATGTAATTCAATAAAGTGAAGCAAGTAAACAATTCCTTCTTTTATATGAAAATTTTCAATTTCCTTTTTCATAAATTATACATATATTCTCAAGCCGGGAAAAAGCAATATCAACTTCAATAAAGTTCAAGGCAAGCAATACAAGCATGCATGTAAATGTCTAATTTTTGCCATGTCTTTTTCTTCTACATTATATATACACACACACACACAGAGTGTGTGTATGTGTGTGTGTGTGTTCTTATTTATGTGTATGTAGGTTTTAAGAGTTTTTATTATGATTTAATTAAGAGAGGAACAAGACTTTGGGCTAGTTTCATTTTAAAGTGAAATGGGCTAAAAATTCGGACCAAATCATTGGCCCAATTGCACCGACCCAGACCAATTGATGGTTTGCCAAGACCCGGATCAAAACGACGTAGTTTCATAATAAAACTACGTCGTTTCACTAAATGAAACAAGATCAAATCTTACCCCTCTATTCCATCTTGATCCAATGGATCTCATTCACTCTTGGCCTAGGTATTTAAAGCCTCCAAAATCTGATGTATGTTGTTAACATACACTTCTTTCAACTTTCAATATAAGAAACTTACTTCAAACACCAATTCTAAGAAAAAGATAAATTAAACTAACATTACTTTATTGCGACTTGTAGCCAAGTAGACATATTTCGGAATTCAAACCACATGTCGAAATTGAAAACTAAAGCATTTCTTGACATAGCCAGCATTTATACACACTACATGCGTACTTACCATTTTATAAACTAGAAAATATGCATTTTGTAATTAACAAAGAGCTCAAGTTAAAGCTTTGAACTTTATTACATCAAATTCAGGATAATCAGAGTGCTACATAGTTGAGATGAATACCTGGATAGCAAAAGAATAAACAGTAGTGAGGTGGGCAGAAACAACGGCAGAAATAGCAGAAAAAACAGCAACAACCAGCAGTGAATTCGTGTTAAAACAGCCCAGAAATCTTACTAACAGTAGTGATTCTTTGGGAGAAGGAACTCAAGAATCAAACTCTAAGACTCTTATATGTTTTTTGAAAGATTTTACACCTTAAGACTCAACCACAACTCATGATTTTCAGCTTACTTTTCATGTGTTGAACTGCTGAAATTTTTATGTTTTTGTGTGTTCAAGCAATTCTAAAAAATGTGTTGGAAGTGTGATGGAGTCCCCTTCATAAATGAGGAAAGGGCAGCCCTTAAATAGGCAAAGAAAAGCTAACTTTTTGCACAGATTTTGGTTCACCCCTTATATATATATATATATATATATATATATAAGAAAGTTTATTTCATATGTAGTTCCTTTTATTATTTATTTTTATTAAGTGTTTATGTTGTTATTGTAACTTTAGTCATTGTGATGAGTGGGCATAAATCAGTAAACTAATTAGGAGTCAAATAATAAATAAAGCTGAATATAAGATAAAGGGGTGTGGGAAAGGGCTGAATGTTTCAGCAAACAAAGAAGTTGAGCCAAAAACTCAATTCTTTAGGCCAATGCAAAACTAAGCTAGGTGGCCCATTTAATTTTTCTCTTTTAAGAAATAAATAAATAGCTGGCCCATCTTCTAAAATCTATAAGCTGGCCTATTTCTCCTTTTTAACAAGAAGTTGGCCTATTTCTTTAAAATAGATTGAGTTGGTCGAACATTTATTTGCATAATTTTACCAACCATAAGGCTAGAAGATAATAATAAAATCAAATTTCTGTTACTAATTAATTAACACATTTTCTTTCTTATTGCCCGAGTGGCTGCGAGGTTAATGACTGAGAGAGGTTAAGGACCTAATGGTGAGGATTATATATATATATATACATGGATCGGGTTGCGCGCCACAATAATGTTATATGTATTTATTATGGATCGGGCTGCACGCCGCAGCAATACTTATATGGACGGGCTGCACGCTGCAGCGATATATATATTGGATCGGGCTGCGCGCCACAGCGATATGACGCTTGGGCTGTAGGAGCCCCTCCGAAGTCTATACACCCCCAGTGAGCGTAGTCGACTATAAACTATGGATCGGGCTGCACGCCGCAGCGATTATTATGATTATGACTGTTATGAGATATTATTGAGCCAGAGTACTGAGTGTGAGTACCGAGTGACGAGCGCTGAGTCACGAGAGACTGAGAGGCTGCACGAGAGGTTATATTTATGAGTGATACCTTGCCCGAGGGGCCTATTTATGACATTCTGCTGATTTCACTCTTCTTTTAAAAATAAGCCTCTGTTGAAAATTGCTAAGTAAATGATTTCAAAGTAATTCAACTGAAACTGAAGTTTTATGAAGTATTTGGTTTTTTTTGAACTGTTGAGTTGATTTGATACTCTGTTGTGTACTCTTATATATGATTTTTAACTGCTCGTCACTGCACTCAGACCTTATTTACTTTAGTTACTTACTGAGTTGGCATACTCACATTACTCTCTGCACCTTGTGTGCAGATCCAGGTGCCCGAACGCAGAGTGAGGGTTCCCAGCATTTTCGGAGCTTATCGGAGACTGCAAGGTAGCTGCACGACGTCCGCAGCCCTGCTTTCCTCCTTCTTATCCTTGTTTTTCCGTATTTTTAGACTTATCATGTATTGGACAGTGGAAGTGGTTGTATTTAGAGGCTCTAGACTTGTGACACTAGATGGTTGGGCTGTGTTTGGTTTGTTGTTATACTTGCTTTCCGCACATTTCAGTGATTTAAATATTTCCCATGCAAATTTGAAACTCAATCAGTATTAGAAAAATGGTTTATTAAAAGGAATTTATTGTGGTTACTTGTTGGGTTGGCTTGCCTAGTATTGTGATAGGCGCCATCACAACCGGGGGATTTGGGGTCGTGACATTATCCGAGTTACCTCTTCTTCGGCCGACGGAGGACTTTAGTCTCGGTATATTTAGAAATGATCTTAGCACAAGTATTGCTTCATTTATTTCTTATTTAGAGTTTCTTTATATAGATCAATTTTACTAAAATAATTTACGCAAAAATAATACCTCACCCTAGTAGTGCTTTCAGATGGAAAAAGATGCAGATAACATGCACATGAATCATTTGTTAACTATTTAAGGACTAAAATCTCCTATTTATTTTATTGTTGTGAAAAAACACATCAAGTAACATTAATCTCTCTAGTATGCGCATAAATTCTCTTAATATAATTTTCGTAAGAAAATTTATTTACTTTGAAATATATCGATGCCCTTGTCGTGGAGGATGAGTTAATGTAGGTTTAATCTTTTCTCCTTTGGCTTGTGCCAATTAGTTGCTAAAATATGAGTGTTCAAAGTTACTATTATCCAACTAACCATTATTAGCATTTTCTATGTTGTGAAATAGGAAATATCAGAATATATAGTTTAAATCTTTGTGCTTCATATTGCATGTCAGATTTAAATAAGTTACAATCTTGTAGGTGATTTCCATTATATTGAGTGAGATCAATATTGGAAAATCACCAAAGTGGATTTCCCTTGCTTATAGCTCCATGCAGTGGCGTACGCAGAATTTTGTATAAGCGGTGTCACACTTAAAGTGAACAAATAATTTTTTCTTACTATAATACCAAACTCAAAGGATAAACTATGCCTTCGGAAAATCTTTGACGTATTAGAATATTGTCAAGAATTTTTTTAAAAACGGATTTTTGATTTTTAATATTTTATTCTTAATAATAAATTTTTTAGAGTCACTATTGTAATTTGTCTCATTTTTTCTTCTTACTTCTGTCTAGGATTTCCACTAAAATGCCTTTGCATGTTCAAGGGACTCTTCTTAATCACATGTCATTAGGATTAGGACTCTTCTTAATTAAGACAAAAAGGTGAGAAATGTGCCTAAAACTCAGCATGTGCAGATTCGAAGCCACAACACTCACCAACATAACTGAACTATGTTACCATTGGACTGGAACACCACACTTGTTCAAGTGGTGTCACTATAATAGGATTTCAGCGTTATTCCGTTTTTAATTTATCATTATAGATATATTTAGTGAATTTTTTTCCGCGAAACGGTGTCACGTGACACCGCTTGTAACCATGTGTATCCGACCCTGGCTCCATAGTGCTATAGGGAAAAACTAGCACGAAAGCAGTAAATATGGCACCATCTCACTACTTCCATTATGGTTAGAGATGGTCATTTGCCAGTAGTGGGTTTTTAGCTTTGCCACTTCTTGTACTGTCTTTCATTCTTAGTGAGACCCCTAGGTTTATCATTAAGAAATGGCGTATGGAGGAGGCAAAAGCGTTCCTTAAGATGGTTAGGAAATGTGGAGCAGAAGCAGAAGCAGAGTTGTAGATGTTGGTAGGCATGATGGAAAATGAAGGCAAGAGGAAAAGGAAGAAACTGTCGCACCCGCCTATTTTACTGCTTAACATATTGGCTCAAATTTTCCAGCAAGTAATGGACTTAGACTCAATACTATTCTTTGGACCATTAATTCTGCAGTCGGCTAGATACACCTATAATGCCTCCTTTGTCGCTCCACTTATTGCCAGAGTTGTTCAAGCTTGAGTTGCTGGACTCACTTATCCGAGTTAGAATTTCTTCGCCGATGAAGGACTCTAGTCTTGGCATGTTTAGGCATGATTTTAGCTCAGGTACTTCTTCATTTATTTCTTATTTAGGTTTTCTTTATATAGGTCAATATTACTAAAATAATTTACGCAAAAATAATACCTCACCATAGTAATGCTTTCAGATGGAAAAAGATGCACATAACATGCACATGACTTATTTGTTAACTTCTTTAAGAATTAAAATCTCATATTTATTTTATTGTTGTGAAAAACACTCATCAAGTAACATTAATCTCTCTAGTATGCACATAAATTCTTTTAATATAATATTCGTAATAAAATTTATTTACTTTGAAATATATCTATGCCTTGGTCGTGGAAGATGAGTTAATGTAGGTTTAATCTTTTCTCCTTTGGCTTGTGCCAAATTAGTTACTGGAAATATAAGTTTTCAAGGTTAGTATTATCCAACTAACCATTATTAGCATTTGCTAGGTTGTAAAATAGAAAATATCAGAATATATAATTTTAAATCTTTTGTGCTTCATATTGCATAACACACTTAAACAAGTTATAATCTTGCAGATGATTCCCATTGTCTTGAGTGAGATCAATGTTTGAAAGGCATCAAAGTGGATTTCCCTTTCTTATAGCTCCATGGTTTTATGGGGAAGTACTAGCACGAAAGCAGTAAACATGGCAGCATCTCACAACTTCCGTTATGGTTGGAGATGGTCCTTTGCTAGTAGTGCATTTTTGGCGTCGTCACTTCTATTATTGTCTTTCTTTCTTAGTGAGACCCTGAGGTTTCTCATTAAGAAAGGGCATATGGATGAGGCAAAAGCATCCCATAAGATGTTGAGGAAATGTGGTGAAGAAGCAGAGTTGTGGATGTTGGCAAGCATGATGCAAAATGAAGGGAAGAGGAAAAGGAAGAAACTTTCACACTCGCCCATTTTATTGCTTAACATAGTGGCTCAAATTTTCCAGCAAGTGTTGGGCTTAGACTCAATACTATTCTTTGGACCATTACTTCTGTAGTCAGTTAGATACAACGATAATTCCTCCTTCGTCGCTCCGCTCATTGTCGGAGTTGTTCGAGCTTGATTTGCTGGACTCACTTATCCGAATTACATCTTCTTCGGCCAACGGAGGACTCTAATCTCGGCATGTTTAGGCATGATTTTAGCACAGCACAGGACTCTAGTCTCGGCATGTTTAACCATTATTAGCATTTGCTAGGTTGTAAAATGGAAAATATCAGAATATATAGTTTCAAATCTTTTGTTCTTCATATTACATGTCACACTTAAACAAGTTATAATCTTGCAGGTGATTCCCATTGTATTGTGTGAGTCAATATTGGATAGGCACCAAAGTGGATTTCCCTTGCTTATAGCTCCATGGTTCTATGGGGAAGTACTAGCACGAAAGCAGTAAACATGGCAGCATCTCACAACTTCCGTTATGGTTGGAGATGGTCCTTTTCCAGTAATGGATTTTTGGCTTACCACTCTTATATTGTCTTTCTTGCTTAGTGAGACCCCGAGATTTCTCATTTAGAAAGAGCGTATGGAGGAGGCAAAAGCGTCCCTTAAGATGTTGAGGAAATGTTGAGCAGAAGTAGAGCCGTAGATGTTGGCAGGCATGATCGAAAATGAAGACAAGAGAAAAAGGAAGAAACTGTCACACTCGCCTATTTTACTGCTTAACATAGTGGCTCAAATTTTCTAGCAAGTGTTGGGCTTAGACTCAATACTATTATTTTGACCATTACTTCTGCAGTCAGCTAGATACACCTATAATGCTCCTTCATCGCTCCGCTCATTGCTAGAGTTGTTCGAGCTTGAGTTGTTGGACTCACTTATCCGAGTTACATCTTCTTCGACTGACGGAGGACTCTAGTCTCGGCATATTTAGGCATGATTTTAGCACAGGTACTTCTTCATTTCTTTCTTATTTAGGTTTTCTATATATATATATATATATATATATATATATATATATATATATATATATATATATATATATATAT